AAAGTGTGGGGGCAGAAAAACAAGACACCTGAGCTAAATCTGCATTAAAGCTGTTGCCTTACGCGTGTACTTTAATAGATTTATTTAAAGCTTCTCCAGACAGGGCTTTTATGTAAAAATATACCTGTTTTATCAGCCTAAATCCCAAACTGGGACTGCAGTACTAAACCCCCCCCCCCTTTAACTGAGATTCCCTAGCTTTGTCCTGTCAAATCAAAACTTTGAAGCGTTGCAGTTTTTGAAGTTCATGACCATCATGCAGGTTTTTTAATCCCCCCCCAAAAACATAAGCAAACGTAACCCATTATGATAGTGATAAACTGTATGTGGATTATACACTCAGCAAACAGACTTTTACAGACTTGACATCTATCAATCTTTCTCTCTTCTAACCAGCTCATCCTCAGCCTGCGAGCGTAGCTATTTCCCAGTCCTCTGTGAGTCTGCTCTCTACCCATCAACCCAGAGGCTCCGTCTCCATCTGTGGACTGTTTAAGTCTGGCAGCTCCAGCGAGTCCTGTTATGTCTGCTGGACGTGGACTGGATCTCCTTCAGGCGTGTGCATCCGTCCGCTCTCAGGGTGTCAAATGGGTGGAGTTTTGTTCTACTGGCTCTGCATCGTAAAGCAACTTAAACTGATCCCAGTGTGACAGAGGAATGAATTATGGAAGTGTCTAGTGAATAAACAGGGAGAGGGCAGAGCTGAGAGAGACTCAGAAGAGAGGGCACACACCAACCAGTGATTTTCTGTCAGATGTAAAACTTGCCAGCGCACGTTTCCCAAACAGTGGAAGATAGTCTGTGACTTTGTGCTAATCTTCCGTCCTGTTTGGACTTTTTCTTCCCCACAAGGCCTGATGGAACTTTGGGTATGTTTTTGCAAGGTTAGCTGAAAGCTAATCCACAGGGCTTAATGCTGGGCTACCACTGTCTTGTTTGATTTATTTAGAACTTTTTTCATTGGTCTCAGAGCCGTGCATTCACTCTAGCGCTGTCACGATATCTGCTTTTGTAGAAACTATTGCCCCAAAAATAATTAAGATAAACGATATTATCGTCATTTTAAGACCTTTTTATGGCACTAATAATGCAGGTACACCCTTCTGAAGAGAACTTTTAATTCTCAAGACTGTTCAGACATTGAAATGGACGTGATTATTAAATATAGAAATATCTTCAATAAATAAAACGTAAATAAAACCACACAACCATAACCATAAATAAAGTTCACTCTTGGGCAACAAAATGTTTAAAAATGTTGTCAATTCTGCAGAACCACTTATAGCAGTAATAGTCAGGATGACAGCACTGTTACCATTAATGAAATATATACAAACATATACAAATACATATGCCATAACTAACACTCATGGCATATACATATGCCATGAGTGACTAATTGTCACTTAAACAGATACCAGTCAGCTGTTACTAATGGTTACAGCCACGAGCAGATGTGGTCTTAACATCAGCTTATGACTTTATAGTAGTTTGTCCAATTAGTAAACTCAGCAGGGCTCTGTTGATGAACTGTGAGCATATAGTATTCAAAGGAGTTCTGCATCTGCCAATTAAGGATGCTACAGGAACTACATGCATGGCACTGTAATCTGTCATCAGATTGTACTTGAGTCTTAGAGCGTGTTTGAGTAGCTGTAGGCACATGGGCGTCCATCTTGTGCATATGTAACAGTTTCTTGATTTAAACCTGCATCAAACGTAGATCTGTGTATTTTTGGTTTTACTGATACAATAAATAAATATTTAATTAGTTGGCTTGTTTAGAACAAAATGAAGGAGATTGTTCACAGAATGAGATGCGTATTTGGACAACATAAAGCATGCTTTGATTAGCCACTTAGTCCTGTTGTGCCCACACTGCAGAATGTTCTAGGTGGTGCCCTTCATATTGTTTATTCCTCA